AACTCAATGAGAGCATCTGACAGACGTGTGTGTCATCATAAAGAGTACGAGATAGTTGTGGCTCACTACAATGAGGATCTTCGTAGGTTGGTCCCATACGCTGATCACTGCCATGTCTATCACAAAGGTGGTAACAATTGGAAATCACCAGTGGAATTCAAGCAATGGGATACACTACCCAATGTTGGTCACGAAGGCCACACATATCTCTATCACATCATTACCAACTACCACTGTCTTGCCAACGTTACACTTTTTGTACAAGGAGAAGTGAAAAATCATATACAATGGAGAGGTGAAGAAGACCTTGAGGAGTTTCTAAAAGGAGTGAAAGAAAATGAATGAAATATACGTGCTGTACATAGATGGGGGAAACCACATCACTTTGTAAGTGGAAGAAGGTGGTGAAGAATGGAGTAATGGCAATGACAAACATGACATTGGGAGACTTTTCGGAAGTTCTCTTTGGTTATCCTCATCCTGAAATTTTTTTATCAGTTACAATGCTATGTTCTCCGTTAGCCGAGCAAGAATTCTCTCTAGACCACCAAGTTTCTACAAGAAATCTATTTCGTTTGTTGATTATCACCCAAACCCGGAGGAAGGACATTAGTTTTAAAGGATCTGGGTTGCTCTTTTCTCTTAGTAGCTAACTGCAATAAATGTACTTTATCCTAGAATGGTTCTAATATGTTATCTCAATTCCCGATTTACCCACACAAATTAGCGTAGGAAGTGTATTGACAATTTGTATCTAATACGTGCAAAGGTAAGGTAGAGGGTGCATCAACCGTGTGTCAATGCACATCCAAAACAACTTTCAGATTGCACACACAGTTAAAAGGTTTTATAATTGTTTAACAAAAGGGTGCTTATTACACTGACATTTTGACGTTTTACGTTTTAAAACTCTCTCTAGTTCCTTCATCAGACTAATGAAAAGCAGAGCTACTGAGTAGTGGTTCGGTATAATAGTGGTTAGGTGTATGTATAACACAAGACAGTGCGGATAAGATGACCTTTGTAATAATTATTGTTAATGAGCTAGTAAAACAAACTTACAACTATCATAGAGCATTTAAGTCGTAATGTAGCTAGTTAATCATGTCCTTGGTCTACACCCAGGAAAAAGCGTAGTATATATAAGCTCTGGAAGGTTACATGCTAAGATAAATATGAAGTATATATTAGAGAGTCGGTAGACTCTCTATATAGGGATAACGCGGGTGAAATCTCACGTGATCCGCGTACAAAACGACTAAAAACTCTGTGAGAATCACTTCCTAGGCCTTCAAAACATACTAGCAATAGTCTACGGGCCCATATCTACCTATACATGTCCCCCAAGAGCTCATACGCACCTTCAGTCGTCCATGCGAGAATTCGCTCATACGCGATTTCACGATTTTCGTGTCATCATATTCTTCATCTTCTTCTTCTTCTTCTTCTTCTTTAAACCCGCTATCTCCTTACCAGTACCAGTTCAAGCACTGATTTTTTCACTGAAGGTCTCCAATTTCGCCGGAGGTGTGCACGGACATCAAGCGATCGTTTCTTTCTTGCCGCTAGTCACTACGGTAGATCATGGAGCTCTTCCCTGGTCGACCTGAACGACGCCATTTGCTGCTTACTCAGCATCAGTGATCCTCGCGCATGCGCCAGGCAGGGGCGTTGTCCAATGTGCTTGCGAGCGTATTCTACCGGGCGAGTTTGCAGACCTGCAGAGGAACTGTCAGCCTCCAGTACCTTCTGTAAGTAAGTGTGCACATTTCCAACTGGCTATCTTGCTGTTGATATGCACGAAGAGCAACTTGCCAGAGTCTGCGTGGTGTTACGCGAGCCTTGCGGGCACTGAGTCAAATGGGCCTTCATTGTTTGTCCCCCCCAGGTTGTAGCCTGATTACCAAAGCCTGCCAATGAAACCACAACCATGTGCAATAATCTAATTACATCCTTGTTGAAGACAATACATGGTATCTAGCAGCCCCATTAGCTACTATATACTTTCAATTTGTCTATGGTAGCCTATCTACAACATAGCCACGAACATCAGAGTGACTGTAACAATAAATGCAGTGTTGCCAGAAGCTGTTAAAAGTAGTGGAAACAAGTGGAAAAATCATTTCTTCAAAATGAAAGGGGGATATAGGGATGGCTTGAAGCACCAAAAAGGAAGAAACAAGGGGTCATTACACAGCAAAGATGCACAAAGCTACATGACACCATCCCTATATCTTTGTTTTATTGTTCACAACCAATCTTGCCCTGCTGACATTTTCCTCCCTAATTGGGAAAGAGGTCGTCCAGCCGCGCTTGACGTTTCCGTCATTTCCACTCTGCAACAGCTTACCTTGAAGTAAAGTTTAATATGAGACAAAGATATAGGGATGGTGTCATGTAGCTTTGTGCATCTTTGCTGTGTAATGACCCCTTGTTTCTTCCTTTTTGGTGCTTCAAGCCATCCCTATATCCCCCTTTCATTTTGAAGAAATGATTTTTCCACTTGTATATATATAAGCTCTGGAAGTTACATGCTAAGGTGAATAATTTTAACATCACAATCACTCACTGAACTCCAGTACAGTAGTGAGCGACTGTTTGTGGCCGTCTTTGTCTACTCCTCCAAACACCAAAACACTTGCCGTTTTTTATGCACAGGAAACGCATGACATACTTGGTCGCCATCGATGCAGGTAAGTTTCATGATCTCGAATCTGTGAATCCTTGAATATTTACTGATGCGCTACTCTAGCGCGGAGACGACCACCATGAATACTACAGTAGGGGCTACAGTTTTGGGGCGGTGTCCACTTCCCTACCATAATGGCAGAGTCCGAGGGAGAGCCGTCTGCCCGATTCAATCATATCCTTGCTCCAGTCGGAGGCAAATCGTATCTTCTGGGCGGAGAGACGGACAACTTTAAAGAAGTATACGAGAGAAATCGTATAGCTGGTGTGCTTAGATTATTTGACCATTCAGCAAAGCAATGGGAGGCCGATCATGATATTAGTAAGAGTGGCAACGAAAAGCCATTGGGAGTTAGAACGGGCGGATTTGTTTCTGGAGAAAAGGTCATTCGGTGGGCGCGCAGACACGGGCTTCGGGAGATACAACACTCTAAGAAGGTGAACGCGAATAGACTTTAGTTATGAATAATACAGTTAGGGCACTATAGTTATGAATACTACAGTTAGGGGATAGGCCGAGGGCTAGGCCTACTACGTTGGGGCGGTGCCCACTTCAGATATAGCCTTGAGATAATGGGAGAGCCTTCTGCCCGATTCAATCATATCCTTGCTCCAGTCGGAGGCAAGTCGTATCTTCTTGGTGGAGAGACGGACCCCTTTAGAGAAGAAGCAGAGAGAAATCGTGTAGCTGGTGTGCTGAGCGTGTTTGATCACGAAGCAAAACAATGGGTGCACGTCGATCGGTATATTGATGGCGACGAAAAGCCACCTGGAGTTAGATCGGGTGGATTTGTTGCGGGAGAAAGGTTCATCTACTCATTTGGTGGGCGTGCAGACAAAGATTTCGGGCGATACAACACTCTGCACAAGTTTGACACGGAGAGAAGGGAATGGATTGCTTTCCCTCCCAGCGTTGTAACGACTGAAACACCGATGCCGAAGGCCGGTTGCGAACCCGTCATCATTGACGACAAATTGTGTCTTTTTGGCGGTTATGGGACACCTACTGGTCCGCCTCAGCCTGGCTCAAGTTTCACTTTCGATGAAGGAGTATAGTGACAGGGGAAACACGAATGAGTTTCATGTATACAGTTTGAAGAATGGTAAGCTGGGGTCATTACCACAAGCCCCAGCTACTAACTGTTGAAGAGCTAGCTAAAGAATAGCGTCAAAGTTTAGCTACTTGACTGTGAATATTTCACTTTCATTTTGGTGCAGTGTTATTCTAGGGACCTTTCTTTGTGTGTGAACATTGTTACTCCGCCTTGCACAGTTGCTGTTCCCCGTTGGATATCTGGGAAGGTCAGTGGGGATAGGCCTCCACCGTGCTCCTACAACACCTTGACACTGGTGGACACCAGGAGAGCTGTGATGTTTGGAGGAAATACTAAGACGGGGAGAGTAAATGACATATACGTAATGACTTTGGATGGAATGAATGTGGTAATTAATTTAAAAAATCTACACAATGGCAACAGAAAAACAAACAATATCTCTTTTTCCAGAATTTTGAGAAGATGAAAAAGTATGGTCCGTGGCCCAAGAAGCGGTCCAGTCATGCGGCGTGTGTTCTCAACTATGACCAGGAGTATCCCCAGTTGCTGATGACTGGAGGTCTTGATGAGAACGCACAGGCTCTTGGAGATCTGTGGCTACTGAGTGTTGATCATGGAATGTGGATCAAGGTCTAATTCTCTGTGTCAGCTGGGCATAGTACATTGTGCAATAACGTTTCATTACAGATTCGAGATCATGAAACATACCTGCATCGATGGCGACCAAGTATGTCATGCGTTTCCTGTGCAGAAAAGACGGCAAGTGTATTGGTGTTTGGAGGAGTAGACAAAGACGGCCACAAACAGTCTCTCACTACTGTACTGGAATTCAGTGAGTGATTGTACTTCATGTTAACATTATTCATCTCAGCATGTAATCTTCCAGAGCTTGTTGATAACAGTGGAGAAGTGCCGGAGTGGATAATGGACGATGCTGTTGTTCTGGGAGCCAATTCAGATAGATCTTTGGTATGTTGCTTCCCACAACCAACTTACTATCGTTGTTATTTACACCTTCATAACTCTAATGCAGAGTGTTTTTGCCGAGTCTGTACAAGCTGTTGAAGATGATGGAGTATACTTCATCCCTGAGCTGAACAAATCTTATACGTAGCAGTAGCTACACTTTTTCCGAAGTGTCATTAGTTCATGGGTGTACCAAGGACGTGATTAACTAGCTACCTTACCACTTAAATGCTCTATGACAATTATAAGTTTGTTTTACTAGCTCATTAACAATAATTACGTGTCGTCACGCTTAAGAATGTCACTTCCGTCATTCGTAGGAAGTCTCGTGCGCGCAGATTCGTAGGAAGTCTGGCTTCGCGCGCAGTCAGTAGAGAGCGCGCACACGAGCGGCCTCAGTCGGACTGTCTTTTCAGATACTTCCCAAGGTCTTCATCGCCTCTCCATTGTATATGATTTTTCACTTCTCCTTGCACAAAAAGTGTAATGTTGGTAGACAATGGTAGTTGGTAATGATGTGATAGAGATATGTGTGGCCTTCGTGACCAACATTGGGTAGTGTATCCCATTGCTTGAATTCCACTGGTGATTTCCAATTGTTACCACCTTTGTGATAGACATGGCAGTGATCAGCGTATGGGGCCAACCAACGAAGATCCTCATTGTAGTGAGCCACAACTATCTCGTAATCTTTACTAGGAATGCGCACGCGCATATTTTGCCTCGCGCCAATGCGTAAACAGTTCGACTGAGGCCGCTCGTGCGCGCGCTCTACTGACTGCGCGCGAAATCTGCGCGCACGGCGGAAGCTGAACTTCCTACGAATGACGGAAGTTACACTTCCTTTTGGTGACTAATTGACATTCCTAAGCGTGACTAATTGAGGACGTACGTACGCATATCACAACCCGGAGTAGTTGCCTCGCGCTAATGCGCTCGGCACACACGTCTGCCAAATGCTCTCATTGAGACTTGCATTGGATAAGCCTCTTCAGGAGTTCCGAACGTTATAACTTCTACTGCTTGCATGAGGGAATGATCTTGATTATATCTCAATCCTCCGAATCGGCTGGCTGAATCAGACTCAAATACTGTTCACGTTCCAGGAATGGTACTGGATATCCATGCTTTAAACGTCGGTGGTAGGTGGACAACACTTGACTGCTAGCAATGAATCCATAACTTACTGATTCAGATTGTGATGGTTCGCGCAGGTCTCCTGTCGCGTTTCTTCGGATGAGGGGCGGAGGACAGTCCCGTAGCGGGCATAGCTAGAGCGGCTTAGCCCTAGCGTTTGGCGTTCATTAGTCCCGCACGGGGTGAAGGTCTTGCTCTCTCGTCTCTTCTCGCATCTTTCAGTGCGCGTTTCGTACTCCGTATACTCGGGATATCCCGTGAAGACTGCTGACAACTAACCCCGATACGGATGATAACGAACCTACAGATCAGCCTGAAACTGGAGGCACATCGACCAGGGGTGGTAAAACAAGCCTGGACGTGTCTCCACTCACGCCTACATCAATACCCTTTTTCTTGGTCTTGCACCAACAGCAGTAGCTTTGATGGGAGGGCTTACATTCTTAGGCCTGTGTAGAGGTGCTGACATATATTGCTAGGACTAAGTAAATGTATTGTACTACTAGATGCCACATAGCTAGGGCCTTTTCCTCCCCAAGTTTGACTCAAAACACGAAGATACTTCACATACTTACACATTACTACTTCATTCTAGTAATGTTATGATATGCAATGAAAACATTGTAAGGCATGGTTGATTTAAAGAGATAAAGCCAGATGGTCAAGCTTTCACTATATAGTGGAAGGAGAGAGATAGGGCACAACTAGTTGTAGTTTTGATTACGGGAAAGTTGAGTACATGTGCATTGATGGTTGATGGTTATTGCTGAGAGGGAAGGATGATCATAAAACGCACAGTAGGATTATCTACCCGGCTGCACTTCTAGCTGTTTGTGCTGTTAGATTGTTACCAAGTTTTTCTTAATGGGTTTTGATGAGTGCAAAATTTCATAGCGCGGCCCGCTTCCTGCGGTCTTCTAGCGATGCGGGGGAGAGAGCGTCACCGCGCCGACCTCTAATAGTCCTCAGAGCTTATTTCAACCGGGCCTGCTTCCGATGCTACGGGGGAAACTGAGAACCAACGGGTCCGTCTACGTCGAAGTCGCGTAGTATACTTACCAAAGTGATGTGGTTTCCCCCATCCATTTACAGCACGTATTATATTCATTTTCTTTCACTCCTTTTAGAAACTTCCCCAAGGTGTTCGTCGGCTTTCCAGTGTATATGATTTTTTCACTTCTCCTTGTAAGAAAAGTGTAGGCTGATATTGCAACCCTCTCAGGACTATGGTAGCTGAAACTCACCTCCATGGCTTGAGCCACTCTGTGAGTGGTTCCAGAGTTCTCAGACCACACACACGCACACAGTCCATACTCCACATCATTGGCACGATGTATTGCGCATAAATGGAGTACAGGGAGGGTAAGCCTCTGCCATACATTTGAACACATTAGCTCTATACACCTCCCTCGTTATTGTGCATGGGCAGAGCGGAAACGGGATACCTATTTTGAAAACATTTTGCGACACACTTAGATTTTGGGATACCTTATACATTCCAGAATACGTGTTACGTGTCATTACAATTACATTTCAATAAAGAGCAATCCTCTTCTACAATAATAGATGGTTGACTTGTGATACATGTCAATTTTATTCATACTCATGATACTTAGTTAAACATTTAGGAAAAAAGAGCAACCCAAATCCTTTCAATATAATGTCCTTCTTCCGGGTTTGGGTGATGATCAACAAATGAAATAGCTTTTTCGTAGACACTTCGTGCTCTAGAGAGAATTCTTGCTCGAGTAACAGAAAATATAGCATTGTAATTGACAACATTCCCTTTAGGGTGGGGAGCACCAAATATAACTTCCCAAAATTCCCCTAATGTCAAGTTAGCTCTTGCCATTTGTCCATTTTTCGCCATCTTCTTCCACTTGCCAACGTGTTTTAGGTCATCCCATCTATTATATTCAGTATGTAGATTTGGTCCATAGAATCCATTCTCTTTTGCTCTTTTCAGAAAAGTCTTAAGGTCGTTATCACCTTTCCAGTGTATATGACTTTTCACTTCTCCTTGCACAAAAAGTGTAACGTTTGGCAAGACAATGGTAGTTGGTAATGATGTGATGGAGATATGTGTGGCCTTCGTGACCAACATTGGGTAGTGTATCCCATTGCTTGAATTCCACTGGTGATTTCCAATTGTTACCACCTTTGTGATAGACATGGCAGTGATCAGCGTATGGGGCCAACCAACGAAGATCCTCATTGTAGTGAGCCACAACTATCTCGTACTCTTTATAATGACACACACGTCTGGCAGACGTTCCCATTGAGTTGACAGGGATGAAGTATACTATATCATCTTCAACAGCTTGTACAGACTCGGCAAAAGCACTCTGCATTAGAGTTATGAAGGTGTAAATAAAACGATAGTAAGTTGGTTGTGGGAAGCAGCATACCGCAGATCTATCTGAATTGGCTCCCAGAACAATAGCATCGTCCATTATCCACTCCTGCACTTCTCCACTGTTATCAACAAGCTCTGGAAGATTACATGCTGAGATGAATAATGTTAACATGAAGTACAATCACTCACTGAACTCCAGCACAGTAGTGAGAGACTGTTTGAGGCCGTCTTTGTCTACTCCTCCAAACACCAATACACTTGCCGTCTTTTCTGCACAGGAAACGCATGACATACTTGGTCGCCATCGATGCAGGTATGTTTCATGATCTCGAATCTGTAATGAAACATTATTGCACAATGTACTATGCCCATCTGACACAGAGAATTAGACCTTGATCCACATTCCATGATCAACACTCAGTAGCCACAGATCTCCAAGAGCCTGTGTGTTCTCATCAAGACCTCCAGCCACCAGCAACTGGGGATACTCCTGGTCATAGTTGAGAACACACGCCGCATGACTGGACCTCTTCTTAGGCCACGGACCATACTTTCTCATCTTCTTAAAATTCTGAAAAGAGAGGTATCGTTTGTTTTTCTGTTGGAATCGCTGTCAAAACCATTGTGTAGAGTTTTAAAAAAATTAATTACCACATTTATTCCATCCAAAGTCATTATGTATACGTCATTTACTCTCCCAGTCTTAGTATTTCCTCCAAACATCACAGCTCTCCCGGTGTCCACCAGTGTCAGGGTGTAGTAGGAACATGGTGGAGGCCTATCTCCACTGACATTCCCAGATATCCAACGGGGAACAGCAACTGTGCAAGGCAGAGCAACAATGTTCACACACAAAGAAAGGTCCCTAGAATAACACTGCACCAAAATCAAAGTGAAATATTCACAGTCAATATACTACTCTTTAGCTAGCTGTTCAACAGTTAGTAGCTAGTTGGGGCTTGCGGTAATGACCCCAGCTTACCATTCTTCAAACTGTATACATGAAACTCATTCGTGTTTCCCCTGTCATATACTCCTTCATCGAAAGTGAAACTTGAGCCAGGCTGAGGTGGACCAGTAGGTGTCCCATAACCGCCAAAAAGACACAATTTGTCGTCAATGACGACAGGTTCGCAACCGGCCTTCGGCATCGGTGTTTCAGCCGTGTTAACGCTGGGAGGGAAAGCAATCCATCTCATTTCCTCCGTGTCAAACTTGTGTAGAGTGTTGTATCTCCCGAAGCCCGTGTCTGCGCGCCCACCAAATGAGTAGATGAACCTTTCTCCCGCAACAAATCCACCCGATCTAACTCCAGGTGGTTTTTCGTCGCCATGATCGACGTGTACCCATTGCTTTGATTCGTGATCAAACACGCTCAGCACACCAGCTACACGATTTCTCTCTGCTTCTTCTCTAAAGGGGTCCGTCTCTCCACCAAGAAGATACGACTTGCCTCCGACTGGAGCAAGGATATGATTGAATCGGGCAGAAGGCTCTCCCATTATCTCAAGGCTATAACTTAAGTGGGCACCGCCCCAACGTAGTAGGCCTAGCCCTCGGCCAATCCCCAACTGTATAGTATTCATGACTATTATAGTGCACTAACTGTATTATTCGTAACTAGTGCAGCGTATCCCCTAAATGTAACTAGTGCAGCGCATCAGAATGAGTGACGAGTTACTTCCAGCTTCCGCAACTTGGCGCAAAAAAATAAAACGGTGCGTGCCCTCTAAAATAAGGTTATGACTGTGCATGATTGAAGGAAAATGTCAGTAGCTACAAACACTCTTTTGGTTATAAACAAACTGTGCATGCAATCTAAAAGTGTTTACATCAGGTTGGATCAGATTTTGTCCATAAGGTGAAACCGAGAACTTTTCCTTTACATTGATGCATGGTTCATTCTATGCTGTACAAGAATATTTGAACCCTTACGGCTGGTAGCTCAGTTGGTAGAGCACTCACCTAGACTCATGCAGAGTGCCGTGGGTTGGAATCCAACCGTGGGCAGCTCTTCTTGGATAAAAAGAGTTTTCCTGGGTGTAGTTGACTTGTTTGTTGTGCCTTTGCCTTTATACCTCGTAGTTTACACATTCACGACGCACCCTCTGCCTTACATTTGCACACATTAGCTCAATACACCTCTCTGGTTATATAATTTGTGTGGACAGAGCAGGAATGGAGATAACAATATTCGGTGGCAATTTTTGAATACAGTATGTTTCAGAATAAGTGATACTTGTTATTGCAGTTAGCTACTGAGAGAAAAGAGCAACCCAAATCATCTCAAACTAATGTATTTCCTCTGGGTTTTGATGATAATCAACAAAGTTTAGTGCATAGCTGATTCGAATCAACCAATCAGATTTGTTAGTACGAGGTTCCTGATTTCACATGAACCTCGTGAACAGACAAAGTAACATGAAAACATGATATGAAACCTTGGTTTTTCTGTTGATTTTCAACAAGTTCAACAGCATTTCATGTAGGAAATGTATCCCGCAGAACATGATCTGTATATAAAATGTTGATCAAAAAAACTGGTATCTTGATTTTCTTTTTCCACAAAACAGTGTGTCTGCTTTGAGCCCATCTTCTTCCTTGCCATGTATATACGTAGCAGCCACGCCCGCATACAAACCACCGCACGCAAATGTGAGGGTGGGGCTCCGCGAGCGAGTCAAGTAGCAGCCCGTATAGTATACAGCGCCTGCTCCCTGATTCAGTTGTGATGGTTCGCGCAGGTCTCCTGTCGCGTTTCTTCGGATGAGGGGCGGAGGACAGTCCCGTAGCGGGCATAGCTAGAGCGGCTTAGCCCTAGCGTTTGGCGTTCATTAGTCCCGCACGGGGTGAAGGTCTTGCTCTCTCGTCTCTTCTCGCATCTTTCAGTGCGCGTTTCGTACTCCGTATACTCGGGATATCCCGTGAAGACTGCTGACAAATAACCCCGATACGGATGATAACGAACCTACAGATCAGCCTGAAACTGGAGGCACTTCGACCAGGGGTGGTAAACAAGCCTGAGTGTCTCCACTCACGCCTACATCAATACCCTTTTTCTTGGTCTTGCTCCAACAGCAGTAGCTTTTGATGGGAGGGCTTACATTGTGACTTGTGTAGAGGTGGTGACATATTATATTGCTAGGACTAAGTAAATGTATTGTACTACTAGATTCCACATAGCTAGGGCCTTTTCCTCCCGAATTTTGACTCAAAACACGAAGATACTTCACATACTTACACATTACTACTTCATTCTAGTAATGTTATGATATGCAATGAAAACATTGTAAGGCATGGTTGATTTATAGAGATAAAGCACAGATGGTCAATCTTTCACTATAATTATACTATAAGTGGAAGGAGAGAGATAGGGCACAACTAGTTGTAGTTTTCATTAAGGGAAAGTTGAGTACATGTGCATTTATGGTTGATGGTTATTGCTGAGAGGGAAAGATGATCATAAAACGCACAGTAGAATGATCTACCAGGCTGCACTTCTAGCTGTTTGTGCTGTTAGATTGTTACCAAGTTTTTCTTAGTGGGTTTTGATGAGTGCAAAATTTCATAGCGCGACCCGCTACCTGCGGTCTTCTAGCGATGCGGGGGAGAAAGCGTCGCCGCACCACCTCTAATAGTCCTCAGAGCTTATTTCAACCGGGCCTGCTTCCGCTGCTACGGGGGAAACTGAGAACCAACGGGTCCGTCTACATCGAGGTCACGTAGTATATATTTGTAGAAACTTGGTTGTCTAGAGAGAATTCTTGCTCGGCTAACAGAAAATATGGCATTGCAACCATGGCAACAATTTTTTCAGGGTCAGGAGAACCAAAGAGAGCTTCCCAAAAGTCTCCTAATGTCATGTTTGTCATTGCCATTTCTCCATTCTTCACCATCTTCTTCCACTTACCAAAGTGATGTGGTTTCCCCCATCTATGTATAGCAGGTATATTTCTTCCATAGAATTCATTTTCTTTCTCTCCTTTTAGAAACTTCCCCAAGGTGTTCATCAGCTTTCCAGTGTATATGATTTTTCACTTCTCCTTGTGCATAAGAAAAGTGTAGGCTGATATTGCAACCCTCTCAGGACTGTGGTAGCTGAAACTCACCTCCATGGCTTGAGCCACTCTGTGGGTGGTTCCAGAGTTCTCAAACTACACACACGCACACAGTCCATACTCCACATCATTGGCACGACGTATTGCGCATAAACGGAGCACAGGGAGGGTAAGCCTCTGCCATACATTTGAACACATTATCTCTATATATACACCTCCATCGTTATTGTGTGTGGGCAGAGCGGAAATGGGATACCCATTTGTAAACATTTTGTGACACACTTAGATTTTGGGATACTTTATACATTCCAGAATATGTTATACGTGTCATTACAATTACATTTCAATAAGCATCCTCTTCTACAATAATACAAGGTTGACTTGTGATACATGTCAATTTTATTCATACTCATGATACTTAGTTAAAAATTTAGGAAAAAAGAGCAACCCAAATCCTTTCAAGATAATGTCCTTCTTCCGGGTTTGGGTGATGATCAACAAATGAAATAGCTTTTTCGTAGACACTTCGTGCTCTAGAGAGAATTCTTGCTCGAGTAACAGAAAATATAGCATTGTAATTGACAACATTCCTTTTAGGGTGGGGAGTACCAAATATAACTTCCCAAAATTCTCCTAATGTCAAGTTAGCTCTTGCAATTTGTCCATTTTCCGCCATCTTCTTCCATTTGCCAACGTGTTTTAGGTAATCCCATCTATTATATTCAGTTTGTAGATTTGGTCCATAGAATCCATTCTCTTTTGCTCTTTTCAGAAAAGTCTTAAGGTCGTTATCACCTCTCCAGTGTATATGATTTTTCACTTCTCCTTGTACAAAAAGTGTAACATTGGCAAGACAGTGGTAGTTGGTAATGATGTGGTGGAGATATGTGTGGCCTTCGTGACCAACATTGGGTAGTGTATCCCATTGCTTGAATTCCACTGGTGATTTCCAATTGTTATCACCTTTGTGATAGACATGGCAGTGATCAGCATAAGGGGCCAACCAACGAAGATCCTCATTGTAGTGAGCCACAACTATCTCGTAATCTTTATGACGACACACACATCTGTCAGACGCTCTCATTGAGTTGACAAGACTTGCATTTGGATAAGTCTCTTCAGCAGTTCCGAACATTATATAGTCTGCAACTTCTACTCCTTGCATGAGGGAATGGTCTTGATTACTAACTTCGTATCTCCATCCTCCGAATCGGCCTCTTGAGAAGATGGACCTTGATTCTAGCCATGGCTGAATTAGACTCAAATACTGTTCACGTTCCAGGAATGGTACGGGATATCCATGCTCTAAACGTCGGTGGTAGGTGGACAACACTTGACTGCTAGCAATGAATCCATAACTCACTATTGCATCTGTGGTCTGTTTGACGACAGATTTTTCTTCCCATTTTGATGGATCCCCAGCATGTTTGGGTTCTGCTGCCTCACACATTAATGACCATACTTTACCAGGAGATGGAACGTTGTCGTCAGCATAATTGGAGAAGATAGTAATCCGGTAAAATGGACAATCTGAATCGGGAAAATAGATCCATGACTTGTCTGATAGGAATGTGGGAGGTTGTCCTTCGAGTCCAATTCCAATGACGTGAGTGTGGGAGTAGACGAATTTCTGTGATATTTCTCTCAACTCTGTTAATTTAAGATCATTGTCCTCAACCATGCAGAGCAAGTAGTCAAGAGGTGCAGTGGATATCAAGTAGTCATATTTCATGGAGTAGGCCAAGCCATTTGTTGTGACAATGTCCAAAACCTTCTTCTCTGAATTGACTGATGTGACCACATGGCCAAAACCAAACCATCCTTGAGGTATAAGTTCAGAAACACTTTTCCAAATTTGTCCGGTTCCTCCATGCGCCGGAAATTCAAACATTTGATTAGGTCCCCAGTTGGAGTCCTTTGCATTTGTGTGATTATGATTCCATTTGGCAATCTTGGATTTGATGACATCCACATTTGGAATGGCAACACGTTCTCCTACCCAATCAGAGTTCATTTCTCTTGGATCGACCGTCCACACCTTGTGGTTGTATTTTCTCATAAACACATCGTTTAATCCTTCCCCAAAGTTCTTAACTAGCCATTCGTCAAAGTTGTGGGGTTTGGATGAAGATGGATGAGCACTGATTTCTTCCAAACCTCTCAGACTTCTTTGCTGCTCTTCCTTGTCCAAAACATGGATATTATGCTGCACAGGATAGGGAACAAATTTTCTCCTTCCACTTGATCCCATCATGTAAGCATAAGATGCACGAGATCGCTTGTTCCAATCTCTGACTCCTTTCTTTAAAACTCTATTGAAATAATCGTAATGAGAGAACACCACATGGCCTCCATTATCCCACAAGAAGCCTTTATCGTCTCGATAAGAGCTAGCCAATCCTCCAGCTTGTTGCTCCATTTCCAAAACAATGACTTCCATACCGTTAGCTATAGAGTCAATGTGTTCAAAGAACCTATAGGCCGCTCCAAGTCCTGTTGGACCAGCTCCAATGATCACTATACGTTGGCAATCATTACATTTCTTTTCCGATAGAGCTGCAGCTAATGTTGCATTAACTTCCACTGAGGTTTGGCGTAGACTAACTGCTCCAGGCATGCATCTATTATCTATCAACGGATCAGAATGGTCACCTGTAGAGCATACAAAATTTGTGTGTGTCAAAAGAAATTTCCCCCATTGAAACGACTAGGTAGGCTCGCTTCGCTCGCCAAGTCGGGCGCTGTACGTGATTCTAACTGTTCGCGCCCTCGCTCGTATGACACGCGCTATTCGACTTCGAGTCATAATGTAAGAATGCACTTAGTTATGTGGCTTGCATAAAAACATAATAATTATGTTCAACGATATTCTAGTCAAGCCACATACATAGGTGAATGATCACAGTGGTTGTGCTGCAGATTGACTAGTATTAGACCCTTGCACAATAAAGAGAATTCCGCTGTCACCAGGTATATAGTAGGTAGCTATAGAGAGGGCAAGAGGAATGCAATGCATTGCTGGCGAGCGCATGCACGCCGTTTCTACAAATTCCTGCGAGCTCATATGTTGGTAAGTAAACCCCACAATAATTGTGGGGTTTAGCTATTTTACTTACCAACGTATGAGCTCGCAGGAATTTGTACAAACGGCGTGCATGCGCTCGCCAGCAATGCATTGCATTCCTCTTGCCCTCTATATAGCTACCTACTATATACCTGGTGACAGCGGAATTCTCTTTATTGTGCAAGGGTCTAATACTAGTCAATCTGCAGCACCACCACTGTGATCATTCACCTACGTATGTGGCTTGACTAGAATATCGTTGATGGCTATATATACCTTATTTCTGTTGAATATGTAGCTACTGATCTTGCAATAGCTAAAATACATACCTCTTCTTATAGTGTTGAATATGCCAATAGACGTAATCCTGAATGTGCTAAACGAGCAGAATAATATTACAATCACTTGGACAATAATCATACAACAGAGAAGAGTCTCTCTGTTTACTTTGCCTGCTATCATTGCTGAGAGACTAGTATCGTAGTACGCCGCCGATGGCTCCACTAGCCCAGCAGCGGCACATCGACTACTTATATCAGCAGGGGACGCGCCTGCGCGGGCCAGGACCGCTCAAACGTATATACTTCCGGTCCGCTCACGTTATTGCTATACGAGTGCCCACCGTAGGTTAACTTCTTACACATTCGCTTTCCCTTCTCTGGCTGTTCGTTTTAAAGGCAAGCATGTCCAATCTAAGAAGAGCAGATTCCTGCAGGGGTATCTGCAATGATGCAAGCAACCTGGACACTTTTGCTTACTGCTTTTGCATGTTCAAGTCAGTCCAAGAAATTTTTTTTATAGCAGCACTGAACTTTTTACTAACAACACGTAAAAAAAAGCTGTAGCTATGTTTGGCAGTTTCGTGAGAACTGCAGATGAGATGAGAATATATCTTCTTCTCGGATAATACGTTCAGTTACCCGTTATCCAGTCAATAATGATTGGACAAATTGCATAATAAGAGTCGATGTTTCTTTCAATAATGCTAAAACTAACATACTGTACTGTACATGGGTTCTAATGGAGTGGGGTTTGTTTAAAGTACAGAATAAGTGCATAAGGGAAAAGGAGTTCATTGGTAACGATGAAAGTGTTTCGTGCATCACATTGACACATTAGCATAATGATATGAAAGTAGAATGATACAAAGCAGGGCCGGCAAATTGAAGATGCACACAATGCAAGACAAGAGCTCAAAAAGGTCCTGGAGATAGTTTTATATCCAGACATTCTGTCCTTCGTTATTAGTGGTGATTCTTGGTGAAACTAGTTTAGACAGTCTGACTGCAACCGTCTCTCTCAAAACGAGAGTAGACAAACTCGTCACCGAATAGACCCTCTACTTGGTAATCAGTGTAGTGACCCTCAATTAAAGATTCATTTTCCTCCCTTTCAGCTGTTCTTCCACCCTGAGAGTCGCCAGCATAGTAACATGGACCTGCATGGAGAGTAACAAAGGTTGTAGGAATGCATCAGTACATAAGGGCTAATTTTATATTTTATCAATAGAGCCCTGTGAACTATGGTATATAGTAACAGCCCTTATCTCACCAGATCGTCTGTCCCAAGTAGTGTGATGCATTTCCCCCAGGAAGCTTCTGGTATCTCCACCAACTTGAGTGACGGTAACGAGGTAGAGCTTCTCTCGGTTAAAGAACTGCTCGTAGCCTGGTCTCAGTGGACCATCATACAGAGTCATTGACACATGGACATTCCAGAATTGACCTAAAGAAAGAAAAATGAAAAGCACTTGAAAGTGCATGATCCTCGCCACTGTTAATTATGGAGGTTCAATAGCAGAGACTGCTCTTCCTTTAATTAATTAAGCCATCTACTAATTTCACTGTATTGTGTTTTTGGATAACATCGCTCTTGAGGGCCAAACCATTTACAATGCATGCCGTCGATGGCACTGTCCACAGCATTAAACGTGAAAAAGTCACTCCATTCAGTATAAATAAAAATGAGCTCACTATACTGAACTTTACTTCAGCCATTTATCTACAAAGAAACATTTATATAGCCATAGCTAACATCCTATCTCTCATTTTGTGAACATTATCCTGTATTGAACTTTATTCCAATCATCCTTGTCCACATTATTCTGGACATGCGTTTTCAATACTAGTTACTACTACAGCAAAGTGAAAAGCACTTGACAGTATATACATAACCCTCAGTCACCACTTTATTCTTTATTTCAGCAGCCAATGGCTACTAGCTACCTGGCTACATTATCTCAGTGACTCCTTCACTGAACAGATTCGCTTCCTGGCTCCCACTTCACTGGCAATCTCGCTCCTACTCAACTGTCTTCATCTCTATTTGACGCACACTCACCTCGGCAGCCCTCCGTTTCGCCCGATTCCCCGGCCTTCTCCGCTCCAGAATCTTAGTTTACCATGCATGCCTCCTACTTGATAATATGTCCACGTTTCACGCTCAGAGTTGCCGCGGTTACCGAGAAAAACGGTGGACAGACGGACGGACGGACGGACGGATGGACGGACACACGTCGTACGTACACACACACACACACACCAGCAATAACCCTCGCTGCGCATGCCCGCAGGCGAGGGTTAATTGGCGAGCGGAAGCGAGCTAGCTAACCTAGTGTCCGAACGGCGCGATTTTATATAATTATGTCACCGTACGTCGTCATGTGACCCGTACGTCGTCCAACTGCGCATGCCCCAGGATTACGCGCTTCTTTTTATCCGAAAGGACTTCAAAATTTTCACATGCCTGCCTGTCATAATGTCGGCTTACATCGCGAATACGAGTGTGTATACATGTGCCTATACGGAGTGTGTGTAACTCTCTCGCAATCATGGATCATTCCAGAGAAGATGCCCTTTGTCGTCGTCGAAGAGAGAGAGGGAAAGAGAGTGCCCGTGAGACTCCTGAGCAGAGAGAGGCACGTCTGTATCAGCGTCGCTTGCGTGATAGGGAACGCGGTTATTATACACGCTGCCTAGTTGTCATATCGATGCGAAATCTAGCCAGCGAAAGAACTCTCGTCTATTCGCTGGCATTCGCTGCGCTATTCGATACCTGACAGAGGCTGTATATACCTCTTTCCAATCTTTGTGGTTCTAAGGTTCAAGTTGTAAATAGGCTAGGATGGCTCGTGCAGATACAGTCATTGTGTGCTCGGTTCCGCTCGCCAAAAATGCCATGCATTCGCCTACTAGTAAACAAACACTATATATTTTCCTTGTATGTGTAATAATGCCAAAGTGCCATAAGCTATATTTATAAGAATACATGCAAAATCAGACACACAGTGCAAGCTATCTGTGCCAGCACTTAACATAACTCGAATCCCACCGGTAGCTAGAGCTGATTTTTTGTTCCTTTCTACCTTACCTCTCTTTGTGACTACGCACTCTATACTATTCTTTCAGTCTACCAGGCATGAGATCGGGAGCTAGATGAACGGAATAATTAAAAGGAATGTGTCAGTCCATAAGAGCTAAATTTAGAAATGTTACTAAAGATAGAACTAAACAATGGGGCCCAGTGCAAGGATGCAATAGCCGTTATAATATTGCCACATTCCCTTTAATCTGAGGTAACCCAGCAAAGACCAAGCTGTGTGTGCCAGTGCTTACATAACTCAGGTACACACTGTGCAAGATTGTGAGGTATTGAAGTAAACATTAATCTCACCAACTAGTCCGTGAGAGGTGGGACTAAGGTTGATTCCCCTCATTATGACAAACTTGATCATGTTCTCTCCTCTCATCTCTACCACCATCACAACCATGACCAGGTCAACGAGGTCACATTTGGGCACCGACACCCGCACACGGTTAGAATACCGCCTCACTTGAACAGAGTCAACCCTGGCCACACCAAACACTGGCTGGCCATCAACAAAGGCATCTAGATCGTAGTTTGAGCCGGGTGAAGAAGAGCGAACTTCCACGCTTGTAGCAGTTTCCTGCAGAATCGGCGACTCTGATGCCCACTGATCCTTTCCCTTCCTGGGTGTAGTTGACTTGTTTCTTGTGCCTTTGCCTTTCTACCTCGTAGTTTACACATTCACGACGCACCCTCTGCCTTACAGTTGCACAAATTAGCTCACTACACCTCCCTGGTTATTTTGTGTGGACGGAGCAGGAATGGAGATAACATAATTTTGAATACAGTACGTTTAAGAAAACATGATACTTGTTATTGTAGTTAGCTACTGAGAGAAAAGAGCAACCCAGATTCTCTTGACTAATTGGTTAGAAGTCATGTGACCAGTAATAGCTAAGGGTGGTATAGAGACAAGATAGGGATGGGATATAAAGATTAGTGCTTTATTGTATGACACAACCCTTTATAGTGTCACCTATAGGTGAAGGGAAAGACATTAATGTTTCAGATCAAGTACAATACTGTGTGTGCCATAGGCCATGAATAGCACCACTCTATAATAGTGAATTTAAAATCCTTGGAATGAATAACCCATGCAAAGCAAATGCACTGTATGGGCTATATGTCACAAATATCGGAGCTTAGCTATCACCTGCAATGTCGTTCTAAAGCTACATTCCAGGCTAAAAGGCTACCTTCCACATGCTTGCATATACATGCATATCACTAAGTAGGGTAGTTTCTTAGGATACCTACCTATTGGGTGGTAGCTATTTGAGTTAACTTATGGGCCTTCTATTTGTGCAAACAAGGTGCAATATTATGTTGTTGCACACTTACGCGAGCAAATTGTTATTAACCCTCGGTGCGCATGCGCAGCGAGGGTTACAGTATGCATTATATATTATTATATTACGCCCATATACATTTGAGATTTGTACGTTTCACTTTCAGATGTCCCTTCTTACTTATAAGTCTGATCCGTATGGTCAAAAAGAGCATGTACCTAAGAAACTGCATATCGCATAATCGGTAATTGATTTATTCAAGAAAGTCAGTTTTCAATTCTTGTTGTTGTTGTTGTCATTCAGTTTCAATAAGTGTATCTCAAAAACCAGGTAAGATACTGAAATGAAACTTGGCACAGAGATTGGAATCCATGACAGGTCATGCAAGATCATTTTAATTTGTTTGTAAACAATGGTGCTTACATGTAAACAACAAAAAAACAAAAAAAAATAGCCCCAGGCCATACATTATGACAGAGACCAATAAAGTGTGCTAAATACCTAGAGTGATATAACTTTGCACACATGTGCAACCCCATTAGGATCAAATAAACATTACAAGTTTGTAAACAATAACAAACAGCCTCAGGCAATCAAAACTTGTAGATGGTGTTTGTGCGTATAACTTGCTTATGGTGGGTCCTCTAACAATGAACCTTGGTACACCGATGTACCATGATGAGAGTTAATCGAAACAGAAATTACAAGTTTGTAAGTAAGTAAACAACAACAAGCAGCCTCAGGCAATAAAAACGTGCAAATGATGTTTTTGCCTGTAACTTTATTATTGTGGGTCCTCTAACAATAAAACTTGGTACACTGATTTACCATGATAAGAGTTCATTGAAACAGAAATTACAAGTTCGTAAACAACAACAAACAGCCTCAGGCAATTAAGTGTTGTTTCTCCTATAACTTGCTTATGTTCCTCTAACAATGAAACTTTGTACACTTATGTACTTTGGTGGTTAAATAAACATGTAGACGACGACAAAGAGTCTGAGGCAATAAATACATGTTACTTTTTATTTGGGCATTATGCCCCAATGCATGTGCATGCCGTAAAAAAGGAAAGAGACAAGTAAGTAAAAAATGCTTTGAAATAAAAATGTGTGGAATATAGGGATGCCATAAAAAGCAAGGAGAATAGACATGGATGACCTAGTGCATGTGATGCATTAGTACAATGGGATTATGGTTGCATCTTCAATCTGACACAGCTTGCTCGTGTAAAATTTTCTTCCACACAAGTCCTATATTGTCGCGAAGCTTGAGTGTGCTCCCTCGTAGAATGACTCATTTCCTAAGCACAGGTGTTGCCCTCTGTGATAGCTCCTCAGTTTTTGGTTGTGACTGCATTGTGTGCAGTCTAAGACTTCCTTCCATGTTTGCTCAACTAATGATGAGTTTTACAATGCTGTGTTCGTGGCCCTCCAGAGAATCCCTTTACCATTGTCCTCACACTAAACAAATTCATGTTGTGAGAAAAGTGGCGACAATGTAGGGCTTGTGTGGAGGAAAATTTACTCGAGCAAGCGATGTAAGTTTGAAGATGTAACCATCATCCCATTGTACTAATGCATCACATGTAATAATAGACATCCCAGTCTTATCTCCTTGCTTTTATGGCATCCCTATATTCCACACTTTTAATTCGAAGAATATTTTATTTACTTTATTGTTCATGGGTGTAATACTAGTCACTCTGCAGCACCACCACCGTGATAATTCACCTATATGTATGTAGCTTGACTAGAATTCGTTGATGGCTATATAATTATATCTTATTTCTGTTGAATGTGTAGCTACTGATCTTGCAATAGCTAAAATTAATACATACCTCTTCGTGTTGAATATGCCAATGGATGCAATCTTGAATGTGCTAAACCGGCGCAATAATAATCAGACAACAGAGAAGAGTCTCTCTGTTTACTTTGCCTGCTATCATTGCTAATGTAACAGCTGGAGCCATCTAGTCCGCAAAACTTACATGTATATCTCTGTCACCTTGTCGTCTTCTCCACAATGGACAAACAGTCATGTCAGTCATGTATATACTCACCTATAAAATGCCTAGGCTAGCCCTTAGAAATTGCCCATGATCTTATTGCACCAGACTGCTCTACAGCCAAGCGCCGGTCCGAGGCCGCGTTCTACACTGGCGTAGTCGGCAGGATCGGGATTGTCATGGCCGAACGACCGCTGGTGATTCCAGAGCCGTACTCTGGCGAAGGACCATTCGATGCATGGGCAACTCACTTCCAGAATGTCGCAGCACTCAACGGTTGGACGGAGGAGCAGCAACTGCAGTGGCTCGCCGTCCGTCTCGTCGGTCGAGCGCAGATCGCCTTCCAGAATCTGCCTGCCGACGCACGGGGTTCGTATTCAGCCGCCAGGACCGCCCTCCTGAAGCGTTTCGACCCAGAGAGCAGGAGAGGGCTCTACGCTGCAGAATTCCACGTAAGACAGAAGCAGCCGAAGGAAGACTAGGCCAGTTTCGGCGAGGACCTGAAACACCTAGTTACCAAGGCATTCCCCGACATCGAAGAGAGCGCGCGGGAGCGCATG